TTGAACATAATTTTTAAAAAAATACTTCCTTAAATTATTAAGTTTAAACACAGAAGCAAAAAAAATTGCAAAATCCATGTCAATTACATGTGTTTCATGTAATTAATGTTCTTTATTCACGGTTTATATCTCTGGAAGAATATTGGGGTATATTTTACAACGGTAATTAAACAAAAACCTTCACCTTTATTTTTGAGCGACCTTTATTTAGTGCTTGTTTGGGTTTCATTTCACATGTCATATTCGTAAACCCATATCTCGATGTCATATGATGCGTGTCTTTATTTATTAATTATCTCTTTTAAAGGATATTGGGGATTTATTGTTACGTGGCTTTAGTTTGGTTTCGTCATAAATTTTATACCCGTAAACCCATATCTCGATAATATATGATGCATTGCTTTATTTATTGTTGAACTCTCTGACAGGATATTGAGAATATATGACCCTTATTCTTCCGTGGCTTCGGTTTAGTTTTGTCATAAATTTTATATGCGTAAACCCTTGTTATGATGCTTTTCATATCTTCCGTAATAACGCGGAAAAACATGTCTTCAGTAATATGCTGTCGATGCTTTTTTGGATAAGTGGTTATTTTTAAGTGATTTGGCGTTGTTTCGTCTTACATTTCATCCTAGTAGACCTATGTTATAATGCTTTTCATATTTTCCTTAATAGCTCGGGAAAACATTTCTTCTATAATCTGCTCTCGATGCTTTTTTTTTGATGAATGGTTATTCTTAACTGACTTTGGCGTGGTTTCATCTTACATATCATACTCGTAGATCCATGTTATAATGCTTATCACATCTTTCTTAATAGCTTGGGAATATGTCTACAATAAACTGCTCTCCATCTTTTGTTTTTTTGATGAAACTGTAATCTTTCAGCATCTCTACACGTTTCATAATTAAATTATCGCTTAATCACATGTGCACCTTTTGAATTAACAATATTTGATTAAAAGGACGATATTTCGAGCTCTGCGTTTTGATTTTATTCATGTCTTCATTGTTTTAAGTTGTTAACCATAACGAAAAATAAATAATACCACATCTTGGTGTTTTTAATTTGCACGAATCCGTGTAGAAAAATATTGTTATCTGAATCAAATTTACAAGCTGTAGATAAATTTTTATCAGCTGATAATTTATTATTTTATCAATAGTCTGTCATGCTGCTCTGCAATTGAACCCTCAAGGCAATCGAAGACCTGGCAGGCTTCGTATAACCTGGAGAAGAACCATCCGGCACGAAACTAATAAATCATTTAACGAATTAAGATATTTAGCATTAAATAGAAATATCTGGCGATTTTATGTAAATAGTCTATTTTCCTGATGGAATACGGCTTTATAATAATAATTTAACAATTCTTTAGCAATTATTTTACAATTATATAGGTGTATGTTTTCGTACTTTAAATAAACAAAATTATCTCATATTTCTCCTAAACTATAATAATATTAGATGCATTTTTTTAACTTTCTCTGTCATTGCTCACTAAATTTCACTTTAGCTCACACATTTGATATCCTTTCGATGTACAAATCAATTAAAAATTCACCAAATACTTTCATTATGAAATCCTTAAATATTAATGCGAATGTCCATGCGGATGGTCTTGCATAACACTGTACCACTAGCGTGTCGAGACCTTGAGAGTCATTGAAAAGCTTATGCGAGCATGTGAGTTTCGTAACAAATGAAGGAAAGCGTCGACAGAGTCGATTTAGTTTCATTTAAGGCACAAAAAGAGAAAAACCCGGTTTCCTGCTTTTCTAAGGTAAAAGTAAATTGCACGAAAACTTTATAAATTATACGAGTTTGTTGGAACGTGCCAGAAACCGAATCTTAACAAGCCCACATTTCCCTTATACGTTTACGCAACTCTGCGGCATTGCTTTGAGTTTGTTAGCTCATTTCGTTAAAATTCGTAGAAACATGCAATTTAGTTAAGCAGAGCAAAAATTAATACCAAAGAATTATAGACGCATTAAGCCAAACTGCAAGGATTCATAACAAAAGGATCAAAAAGAAATAAACTTTGGTAACTGACTTTAATAAGTAAATTTTATTATATATAATATTTCTCAAAAGTATTAAACTATGTACTCTTTCTTTCTATATTTCCATAATTATATTTATTTATTTTTAGTTTTTCATATTTATTTATATTTATTATACATGTGATATTAATTTATAATATAATAATATATACTCGTATTATACTTATAGCAAACTAACTATACAATGTATATAGCATTTTAACTAACATTTTTCTTTAAGTCTTTAGAGTTTTCCTTTTTATTACAAAAAAAAAAACTGTAAATGCAAATACACTGAAAATTTGTTGGTGTAGGTGTTGGCACTTTGCCGTGTTCTGTGGTTACTCATTTTAGGATGTCGTGTACTGAAATCATTTATATTCGTTCTTTTAGCGATTATTCAAGGTTGATAAGCGTTAAAATAGATGAAGGCCTATTGACCTTATATTTTCCTAAACAATAATAAAATCGAATGAAGTGAAATAGTAAAATTTGTGGTAATGAAATAAATTTAACAAATTATTTGTTTTTACCTTTACCAATTAATTTGATAAGAAACCTCTAATAGTTGGTTTGGAATAATATGGTTTCACTCAGTTTAGATGATCTTCGTTAAAATCACAAATTGTAAAAGGATAACGAGAAATTCAACCATAAAAATAAAAATCTATAAATAAAAATAATGTTAAAATTGTGTTTAAAAATATTTTCAAATATATTAATAATAAATATAATACATTTAAAAATGTTTTAAAATATTTAGCACAATTAATTAAATAAGAATATTTAGTTTAGAAAGCAAACCATATGAATCATGTTTGCCTTGAATATTCATTATTTCTCAAACAGGAAGTACAATTCAATTAAGAGTAGTAATTCAGTCTGTACTTTTAATATTACGAGACCTTCAGAATCATTGAAAATAAATTTTTCAAAATGCTAAAGAGTAGCATTTTCATTGGTTAAACATACTGTTCACACTAATTAAAATACTTAAAACGTTTTACCTTTTTAAACATATATGTTAAAACTATTTAGGTTCCTTTGGTTCCTCCTTTAAATAAATGAATAATACTTTAAACTGAATTAAACAGAAAAAAGAATTTTTTAGAATTCCACCAGTCTTTTTCTCCCCACTTTAGCTAATAAAGAAGGTACTATATTATAGTACATTTTATATCATAATTAAAGTATAATCATTTTCTAAGAGTAGAACATAAATAGAAAATCACGATGAGTTGTAAAAATATTACTGAACAGAGTCATTATCAAACGGCAAAATTTTTGGCGGTTCTGACAGGTCTCTGAACAGTGTACACATATGCCAAAAATTTGTTCTCACCTTTAATCAAAGATGCAAGCGTTGAAGGGAGGAAGAAGAAAAATTTTAATTTGTAAATGTTCAGGTCTGAAAATATTTGAAATCCACTTTGAAAGGCTAAAAACCTAATGAGACTGATGGACATCTCATTTTTGATGCTGCTAGCTAGCACTTTTACACAATTTCAGGTTTTTTGATGCTATTAGGACTAAGTAATACAGACAGTCAAGTGATGGATGGTCACGTCAATTTAACGATATTTTTTACCATGACCAAAAGGTAGATTTTACAGAGAGTCATATTACAATTGTAAATTTTCTACTTTTATTTTGATACGCTTTTTTTAGGTTAACATATATAATAATTATTTCTTGTGTGGATATGTAAACATAAGTAGCACTACTATTTTGAACAATGTGATTTTTGTGAATGGAACAAAATTTTCATCGAAATTTCTCTCTTTCTTTCATTCTCACTATTTTAATTGCATTGAAAGAACAAAAATTTACATTTGACGTGACGATGACTGTCAACGTAACTTAGCCGTTGGTTATTAACCGGAATAATCATTAGTTGCGATGAATGCTACCAATCTCGATTATCTCAGATAACAGAATACTAACACTAATAGAACACTAATTAGAATTGTTAATATGTGTTTTCTTTTAAATTACATAGGACTTGAAAACAAACAGGTTTTTATAGGTCACATGTCTGGGCCCATAAATATTGAAAACAAACACGGTGATATGATCTAACTCTTAATGTTTACATATGATGCAAAACGTTTACAGAACTATTAAGATTCTTTAAGCATTTCAAATAGACCAATAATACTTTAAACTCAATTAATCGGAAAAATACATTTTCTTGGATGACACCAGTCCCAACCAGCCTATTCTGACTAATAGAGAGGGTATTATATTTTTTTAACTTATTGTTCTAGAACTATTTAGATCCTTTTGCTATATCAAAGTATTCAAGCATAACAGAATCTTATATTGACTAACTCATGTTATTAATGAATTTCTTCTAAAAAGTAGTTATATACGAACGACTCCAAATCTTAGCTTATAAGATAGTTTACATTAAATATTCCGTAAAACTTACGCTTGCTAATGTTCTCAAATTTAAATCATAAAAGCCTCCAGCCGTAAAGTGTATAGGATTTTGCATAACTTGTAACGTAAAATCATCGAGTATCAAATGATATGGTTTGGATAAACAGGACTTAGCTTGGTTCAATTTATGTAATATAACTGCCGGCTGCAAAATATAGGTTTTAGTAAAAATAGTTTAAATAAGAAACTTTAAACGAAACATACATGTTTACCACAACGCTCACAGACCCAGCTAACGGTCACTATATGAATTACCGGTAACAGGGCTAAGAAGAATGACTGTACCATGGTTATGATTCTGTAGGTCATACCGTGCATAGCAACAATAATGACATAACAAATATTCGTAAATTGGCTTATAGATGCACAATCCATTAGTAGAATGGAAATTCCAAAATAATTTGTAATGTCTTCATTAATTGAAGCAATTTCCGTATAAATGGTTTTCATTACTTGAATGTTCTGCAGTTTATTATATTGGACTCCTTCATCTCGCTGCCTGTCAATCAAATTATTGATGTAAGTATTATTTAGTTTTGGAGTTTCAATTGTGCCAAAATCAATCGATGTATTTGTGATAGTACTATTGTTGTTGTAATTATCACTGATTTCCGTATTAATTAAAATCCTTTCCATGGCATATTTCAGCAATTGCAATTTGCCATCAATTTGAGCCACCAGAAATGTAAATTTTATATAGTAAGCTGCCAGTGATTGTATTGCAAATAAGTTCAATGCAAAAACTATTTTACCCTCTAAGGTGAGCGTATATGAGCCTTGAAATGTGCTTAGTGTTATTCCCAAAACAGTGCCCAATACTTCTAAAGCAATTTGTGTAACCAACAATTGATTAAAACTCTTTGCC